TGAAGGCGCATTGGGATAGCGAAAGATGCCTTCCAAAAGCTAAGCATATTTCTATCAAGAAACAGGAAAATTTCGTTAGAAACAAATAAAAGAGTACTGAACTGTTACGTAATATCAGTCCTCCTATATGGCAGTGAATGCTGGACAATCTCCTCACAGATGAAGAAGAGACTTGAAGCAACAGAAACAAAGAAAAGAGCACTTAACTCTTATGTAATATTAGTCCTCCTATATGGCAGTGAATGCAGGACAATCTCCTCACAGATGAAGAAGAAACTTGAGACGATAGCTTTAGAGAAAATTGAAACGAAAAGGACACTCATATTTAACATCAGAGACAATTGACATTTCTAAGGCACATAATGAAGAAAGGGAGCTTGGGAACTTTGACACTCACAGGACATACTGAAGGCAAGCGGAACAGAGAAAAACAACCTCCTTAACGATCTTAATTAAATAGATGAGAAACAGGGATTAGGAGAGATAACAAAAAGACAGACTTTACTAAGATATACAAAGGACAGGAAATTGTGGAGAGACGTGATCGCCAACGTCTTCAAGAGATAGGTACATAGAAGAAAAAGATATTTTTTAAGAATTCGGCTTCATTGCGACCGCACCTCTCCCTTTTGTTCTAAATGGGCGACACGCGAAGAATCTTGTTTAGCGAGCCAGCAAAAGATGGAGCATATGTCTACATATAATTAATCTTCTATACAGAAGTATTTCTTCAAACGGCTAGAAGTTGAATTAAGAATGACCGTATTTGGTAATGGAGCAGGTGCAGCTTCATAAATAAATTCTGCTTAGGGGCCTCCATTAAAACGGGACATAAATTTGTCGGTAAAGAATAGAGTATGAATTTATTATCTGTTGATCGCCAACTGAGGTTGGTCCAATCAACAAAATCTTCGCGTTTAAAAACTTTTCTAAAAGGTAAAACTCTTTTGCTAAACATATAAATATATTTTGCAAATGAATAAAAGAAAAAAAAAGAAAGACATAAGTATAAGACTTTATTAGTAATTTGAAAAAATAAAAAATAAACAATTATGCCCGCAAATCTGTTAATGTCTGAGTTGTCAGATGTTGAGAGGGGGAAAAGTTAATTTTTGAATAAGTTCAATGTTTCCATTTGTTTCCCGAGTAAGTCAAATATTTTCTTATTGTCGAGGAGTTTTTTTGTTTTTTTTTTTTTTCCAGAGATAAAAATCTGGCTTTTTCAATTTGGCATACCTCCCCTAACAAAAAAAAAAAGAAAAAAAATTGTGAACATTTATTTTAATACGTTATTTACCGTATTTCGCTGCTTACAAGACGCACCGATGCATTAGACTCCCCCCCCCACAAAAAAAAAAATTGAAGGAAGTAATCGACAGAAAAGTTTTTTCCTTGTACTTCATAGCCCTTTCCACTATCCCCAATTTCACCTACGGAATAACATATTTCAGCGTGAAAACCTGACTAATTATGACAAATTTATTGCAGACCGAGAATAACCAAATTTATAGTAACTATTTAGAATTAGAAGAGAAGTTATAGAGCATACTACCACTGAAACCTAACCTTAGCCGGGCTACTGTATTTCCTCGGCAATGTTTGACACTGTTAGTGTTAATCGTACGTGTGATTACTTAATCAAGCGAAAATACCCAGCATCTGCTGACTAATGCATAGTATACAGTAGTATTATTCTTAAAGGGTCTACCATAAATGCTGCTTCTCTATGACCAGTAGTTTAAGAAGGAAGGAAGGAAGGAAGGAAGGTGTTACTATAATAGCAGGAACTTCTTTTCCTATCAATATCCCAGTATCCCAACTGCATAGGCAACTTCTCTAAAACATTGTTAATTTGATTTGCACTCTTTAGTACTGGACTTGTTTTAGTTTCAAGGATTCAAAATCGGGTGTAAGTGGGGAGCTGATGCTTAACCAATACTCGCTGACTTTCGATTTATAGGACGCAGGGTGGTTTTTGGAAACATGCGTCTTATAAGGAGAAAAATGTGTGTGTCTCGTTTCGATCTTCCAATAAAATGCTTTCGAGATGGATCGCTATTATCAAGTGAACTGTGTCTTAGAATCTATTGCAGATGACATTTTATTGTCATATTTTCTTATTTCAGATGCGTGGGTAAGAAACAACAGGAGTTCACGTTGAATAGGAATAATTAACGAGCTTTATTTCCAGGGTCAATACACGATGGTTCCCTCCCCGAAAGTTTTCCTCCTCCTTTTTGAAGAGTCTCTTTTTCTTTGTATCTGCCCAGGGTTATTCCCCTTAGATCACTGTGCTAAGGTATCACCACATCTCCCTCTTGTATCTACAAGTCCAGTCTTTTGGGTTCAATCACCGGTTTTCCTGATCTTGTCCTGAAAGTGTTCTTTGGTTTGGTGATGAAGATGGTGTATGTGTCTGTGTGGGCACTTGTATATTTGTTGTGTCACTGACACACTCTAATCTATATATCAGAATCAAATGGTGCCTATTTCGTCTTATACTCCCATTAGGCCGTTTGACTATATATGATCTTGGTGCTGTTTTGTTTGCCACTGTACTAGAGAATTTGGCGTCATTCCCTCACACCTGTTTCGCTGGTAAAAGATCAGATGCTCGGTGCCAGTGGTTAGAGTTAATCCAATCAGCACTCTTCATCTGTTTTTCCTTCGATCTGACAGCAGCATCGTCTAGTAGGGCTAGGTCCAGTTGCAATGGATGAGTTGGTACTGTAATGCGCTACCTGCCCTCCACCAGCAACTGAACTGGGTTAAACCCATTCTGAAGTCGTTTTGATCTGTATGCCAGCAAAGCAAGGTATGGATCTGTCGCTTTAGTCAGAAGGTTTTTGGCTGTCTGGACTGCCCATTCAGGTTCTCCGTTGCTTTGTGGATACCTCTGCTGGTTACATTCCGAAATCCATATTCCGAGGCAAAAACAGAAAATGTACTGCATGCAAATTGTGGACCATTGTTAGTCACTAAGGTCCTTGGCAATCCATGACACGCAAACATTGATTTCAGATGATCTGTAACATCTGAAGTTTTGAGAATGTGAGGTTCGCTATTTCTATGAACCTCGAGTCATAGTCCACTATTAATAAATACTTTTGGCCTTTTAGAGTGAAAATGTCCGCTCCTAGTCCCTGCCAGTGTCTATCTGGGAATTCTGTTTGAATGAGTATCTGCATGGTTAGTGTGCTTTTTTATGCATGTTCTTCATTTCAGCACTCACTCATTTAGCTGCTGGCTTAATCCGGGCCACCACACACTCTGACAGACGCACTTCCTACATTTGACAATATCCTAATGACCTTCATGGAGCCTCTCAAGGATGCTATTCCTCAGTACTGATGGAATGACTAATCTTGCAACCTTAAGCAAAAGGCCTATCCTGTACAGTTTGGGATGCACGCTCTGTCCACTACATTCTGAACACTCCTTAATATGACTTCCATCGGCGCCTGTGTCGATCTTAAAGGGTTTTCGTGCATTGTTTTTTTTTTATTGGAAAGAAAAATATAATTTACGAACTATAAATTACGAACTATAGATGGTTGACCTTAAATTGGATGTCTTCCGATATCCAATTTAAGGTCAACCATCTATGGGTCTCCACTCATATTGATATTGCTCCCAGGAAAACTCCGCTGTCATCCTGTTATCTCTTTGACAGCTGTTGATGTGCACACACGCTTGCAGTGTCCTTTTCCTCATGTCTTATCTTTGACAGGGCATTGTGTTTTGGAGTGGTAAGGGCTATTTTCACACTTATAACATCTGACTTTTATTTTTAATTTTGTCTCTAATTTTTGTGTTGGTTTCCCTATTCGTATGATTCTGTTCACAGAACATGGCTATCTCCCGTCGGATTGTACTGTTTCTGCCTCAGAGTTTCAGTCTGCTGGGCTATCTCAATTGTTTTTTGTTTTTTTTTCTAGTGTGAGATTTCCGTCTAATTGTATTCTTTCAGATAAACGTGAGTCTGAAAGCTTGACAACCAAATGGTCCCTGATAAATTCGTTTTTTAAAACTCCATAGTTACAATGTTCGGCCAACGTATATAGAGCTGTCACAAAAGAATCCACAGACTCATTAGGTCCTTGTTGTGTCCTATTAAAAACTTGCTAGTTCGTAAATTATATTTTTCTTTCCAATAAAAAAAATGCACGAAAACCCTTTTTAACGGCATCATAGTCATTTATTTCCTGTTCAGACAATTTTAAATTTTGCAGGATATCGTCAGCCTGATATCCCATACAATAAATTAAGGTATGGGCACCCCGAAGTGGTGTAATGGTTAGCTTGTCTTGCTAGAATAATTACGAGTGAGTAGTGAGTTCGATCCTCACTGACTGTCCCATACTTTCGGCCTTGTGCCACATCTAAGCTAGGCATGGAAAATAACTACAATAAATTAAGGTAATTACATGGTTTGCTTGTGTAGTAGTATGAAGATTACTTGATTGCCGGAATCTTTCAAAACGACGCATCCATTTTCCCCATTCAAGCGGCTTTCTAAACACAAACGATTCCGGGGGTTGAATAGTGAAAGACGCACATGGATGCTGTCGAGTAGGGACAGCCATGTTTCTTTTTCCTGATTCACCACCTTTTCTTTTTCAAGCTTCCCTTTTTTTCAATGTCCCGAAAAAGGTAGGAATACTACTGTCTACTAACTAAAGCCACTTCTGACACCATGTCGTGCTTTCTTATTTCAGATGTGATGGTAAGGAAAACAGGAGTTCAAGGTATCACCACAAATGTCCTATTGCTATTTACATTATTTATATCAGGACTAATATCTTAATCTTTATTCCTATTATCGCAACGTTTTGACCGTTCTGTTTTCCGACCTTCTTTCAGGTTTCTGTCGACCCGATTAACCTTCAGGAAGTTTCGAATTGAACCCTTTATTTAATCTACAGGAGTAGAGTGTTCTAGTTCCACTGCCCATGTCTAAGAATATCTTTATGTCTATTTTTAGTTGCTGAGGAGGGAGTGGGGGTCAAATCGAAGTGAAAACACTGGTTCTCGTTCGATCACCGAAGTTAAGCTATGTCAAGCCCGATCAGTACATAAATGGGGGAACACTGGGTACTGTAAGCAACACTCTATAATCCAAAATATTTTTCGGCTTTAAATAACCCACTAAGGGTTGATAAACCGTAAAATAAAAAATATAATCAACCAATCCCTTTTTATTACGGCTCAGTGACTGTTAACCCTATTTTCACTGAATCAGAGTCTATACTTTCCGGCCCTGAAATTGAACTAACAATTACTATTCCACCAAATCAGGTAATTGTGAGTTCGATCCCTGGACCGGGTAATAGAGACTCAGACACAGTAGAAACACGACGAGTAGAAGAAGACAAGTTACCCCCAAGACATAGACAGCGGAATGAGAACAATCTAACCTGTAGAGTAAATAAAGGGCTCAAATTGAAATTTCCTGATGGTTAGCCGGATCAATAGATACCTGAAGAAGACTGGAGGGCCAACGGTCGAAACATTGAAATAATAACAAGGCTGAAGACATAAGTCTGAATGTAAATAATGTAAAAATAATGAAAACTCCTCATGAATTTCAGACAGGCTTCCTACTGTATCATGAAATGATCTGGAAACTGAATGGATTCTCTCTCTTCAATATTGATTTAATCAGCTTCGTCTGACACAAACGTAAATATGAGAAACTGTAATCTGAAAAATCATGTTCCGCCATATTTCTCAGTGGAGCGGACATACGATGTCTTTCAAAATTCAGAAATGAAAATTCTGATTGGGTGTTTTTGTTTAGCGGTATATCAACCTTTATGGAGTTATTTAATGCCGAAATCTAAAAATATTTTGTACGCAATTTTATTTCATTTTTGGAAATAATAATGGTTTAGTGATACTAGTTTTACTAATTAACACATAGCCGGGGGGAGAAGAGTTGGATTCATACCTTTCCCAAGAGTACTTGCGCGTAAGTGAATATAACGAACCTAACAAGAATTGGAACTCTGCTTTCCGATTAACAATTCCGAACCATTATCCATCTAAGCCACCCGTAAATCCAAGCTTACAACACCTGGTATTCCCAAGCGGTCGACCATCTGGCCAAGCTCGACATTGCTTAACTTCGGTTTAGTCACGGGCGCCAGTGAGAATGCACTAACGTAATATCCACTAAGAAAGCGACACCACTTTCTCTCTATATTTCTGAGATGAGGTATTATGTACACTATTTACATTATTCAGATTATTGTCCTCATCTTTGTCGCCATGTTTATCACAACGTTTCGGCCGTTGTACGCTCCGGCCTTCTTCAGTTGGTTGGACTATCGAACTGAACCTCACTGAGGTAGACTGTTCTAGTTCCACGTGCCATGTCTAATGGATGTCAGTTATCTCCTGTTAATTCCCCTCGGAAAGTTCTCCACTGCCGTGAGCGAAATAAAGGATTCAGTTCAGTTCGACATTCCCCACCACCTGAAGAAGGCCGGAGCGTACAACGGCCGAAACGTTGTGATAAACATGGCGACAAAGATGAGGACAATAGTCTGAATAATGTAAATAGTAGACACCAATTTGATTTTAATTATTTTTAATGCCATACCCAATCAGGACGTAAGCGATAACTGTACAGATTCATTTTCTTCATTTTCTCTGATTTGCAATGGAGATATAGTGGGGGGGGGCTGCCAGTTGCTTTCTGTACAGTTTGGAATTCAGAGTTTCTCTTCTTTTCAACCACCCAAAGCTTCATAGCTCAATGTACCCTATTATTTAACTCATAACTAGGGGAGAGGAGACAGATCCATGCTTTTCTCAAAGGTATTTGTGTGAAAATGAACGCAAATTTGAACTCGGCTCACCAATTCAGCTTTTCGCGCCAATATCCGTTACACTACCCACTAAACGTACAGAACCCTAAAACTCTAGAACTCTCCTTTTTTTTCTGTAGTGAGCGCGTATACGAATTGTTAGCGTTTAGAACACGAAATCTAGGTTCGAATCTCATCATGGTTGATTAGAATCGGAGTTGACTTTTTGGTTATATCACCCTGGGGAGAGGTTGAGTTGGCTTGAAACCATACCACGAGTTGACTCAAATCTTGTGAGTGAAATTTGATAGACGAAACTACTTGAAACCGTCGATGCTAGAACGTAGCCACAAGTCTAATTGTAATATTAGACGCTTCCTTATAAGGAAAAAGTCGGCATTCAGTCGGCTAGTTTCGCTTGAAAATTCATAAAATCTTTCAGTTTTCTGGGAAATAGGTTTAAGTCCAATAACTGCTTTTTCATTTTTCAGTATTGATGGGGGCTTCTTTCCTTACATTTTATTTGAAGTAGTGTAGAATATCAACATCTTTCCATTTTAGTTGTTGCTGCTATTGAAAGTCATCAATTGATGTGGTTTCTCTTATTTGGTACAGTTCTATGTGATTCTGTAGCGCCAATCCACAATTCGAAGACATGTTTGACTCACTCGAATCCTTTTTTAACCATCTGAACAAATTTGGAGCCATGCCAGACACCCACATGAAAGTCTCAATGGTTAACTACATGACTTGATTTTCTAGGTTAATGGGCAAATAGAAATTAACCATCCCCAAACATTTATTTGATTGTTTATTTACATTGCCAATCCATTCGAATTTTACGGTGGAGTAATGGATAGCGGCTCGGATTGAGGAATCGGTGAGCCGTGTTCGAATTTCAATCAGTTCTTTTTACATTCACTTACGTGCTAATGCCCTTGGGAAAGGTATAAATCCTCTTCTTCTCGCCCCAACTATGGGTAAATAGCAGGACAGACCGGGTTCTATAGTCTTGGATGGCAACTGCTCTACCGCAGAAAGAAATGGCAAAACTACCGCGGGAAAAAATATGCCTCGTCAGTCATGTATCGAAAGATACACGATCGTATCACGCATGGCATATAACTGAAATAATAAAGATTTCCTTATAGTTGGTTCACATATTTTAATAATTTAGTAAATATTTATAAATTTAGGAATAAAAAATTGTTTCATATTTATTTCTTTAAAAATTGATAAATGATAAATATTGCATTAGTTTTAAGAAAGTTGTGAATATAAAATTATTCTTGTAAATAAACAAGCTAATAAATTGTTGTGAGGGAGAATATTTCCCTACAAGTTTGAACTCGGCCGTCGGACGAAAGACATAAAAATACTCCTACATCAAGAGGAGTAGCAGGAAGAGCAGTAGCAGTCTTTGTTGAAAACACTACGGCTAAACATTATCTTCCCTAGTTTATATTCTACATTACGTTCCCCTGTACCAAAAGGTAATAAACTTGTTGTTAAACCAATTCCAGTTTTCTACTGTCGTTTTTGATAACTCAGTTACAACATAAATAAGTAGTATTTAATATTTTGTCAATTCTCAAGAACCAAAAAAGTGTATAAATTAACTTTCAACATATTATTAGGTTTTATTACAATTTTTAATCATCGCATTTTAAAATAATAAACATTGCCGAGTAGTGAAGGTAGTTCAAATAATAGCCGTGTCAAAGGAAAACCGTTCTTTTGAGACATCATTTTTTGCCAGGTACAAGGATTAAAGATTGCTATTTTTTTTATCCTCTGAATATTTCTCAATTTTGAAAGGACAGTTCTATTTTTAGAAAAATCATATTATTTAGAGAGTATTTCTTATCACCATGCTACCATAAAAATAATGTTATAAATATTGTATATATATTATTTTTTTTACAGGTGTTTTAGCATCCTTTCGTGTAGTTTGTTACTATGGGAGCCTATCAGCCAAGCGTGATAGTGAAGCAAGATTCTTACCTTCGAATATTGACCCAAGACTATGCACAGATTTTGTCTATGCTTTTGCCCAGGTGGCTGGAAATTCAGTGCGACCTATTGGAGATGCAGCTGAGCAATACAAATTGTAAGTAGAAATCTTGCCGTCATTAAAGACGTGTCTGATATGAAAGTAAAATTTTGGAGCACGCACTTATACTTAAAAAAACAAACGCACTTACGTAGGTGTTGTTGCCTAAATGTTATGGGGATATTTGGACAGTAACTAAAAGTTTAAGGGACATTTGGACGGTAACTAAAAGATTGGGAGATATTTGGACTGTAACTAAAAGTTTAGGAAATATTTGGACAGTAACTAAAAGTTTAATGGGTATTTGGATGGTAACTAAAAGATTGGGGGATATTTGGACAGTAACTAAAAGTTTAAGGGATATTTGAACAGTAACTAAAAGTTTAATGGGTATTTGGACAGTAACTAAAAGTTTAATGGATATTTGGACAGTAACTAAAAGTTTAATGGATATTTGGACGGTAACTAAAAGTTTTGGGATATTTGTACAGTAACTAAATGTTTAATATATTGGGGGATATTTGGACTGTATTTAGAATATTTGGGGGTTATTTGGACAGTAACTAAAAGTTCAAGACAGTAACTAAAAGGTTCGGGATATTTGTACAGTAACTAAATGTTTCTGTATAATTGTACAGTAACTAAAAGTTTAAGGGATACTTGTGGAGTAAATAAAAGTTTGGGGGATATTTGGTAAGATTACTGATTGTTCATGATATGTCAATATGTCAAGTTATTCTATGTTGTCATTGGTGGATATTTCCGGCATCTCTAGAAATCAATCAAGAAGTAAAGAGCTTTAATTTGTGTGTGTGTGTGTGTTTTTTTTTTTTTGTTTTTTTTTGGTTGATTAAATCATTTCGTGCTTTAAAACCCACGATTCTTTATGTAGCAGCTCAGTGTGATATTTACGTGGTGCTGCTCGAAATCTCGATGAAGTTAATTGATTCGTTTTCTATCAAACCTTTGCAGATCAAACCTTTGGAGATCAAACCTTTGCAGATTTTTTTAAAGCCGGAAAATATCAAACCTTTGCAGATTTTTTTAAAGCCGGAAAATATTTTTAGATTGTGAGAATTTATTTTTGGGTTGGAAGGGAGTTAATAATGGTTTCGTGATACAAAATTTACCTATAGCTGGGGGAGTTGGATTCATACGTTCCCCATGCGTCAGTGAATATAACAAACCGAACGTGAATTGGAATTCGCTTAACAAATTTCGAATCATAATCCACTAAACCACCCGGATATCTAAGCTTACAGCACCTAGTATTTCCAAGCGGACACCCATCTAGGTACTGACTAGGCTCGACGTTGCTTAACTTCGGTGATCGTGTGGGAACCGATGTTTAAACCGTAATGTGGGCGTAAGCCTTCAGCAAACTTCAATAGATTAAGCAATCGTGCTATTCAGTTTCCCATGTTTCGCCTTTTCACGCTCTCTCGAAATCCCTCCACCAGGAAATAAATTTTAAAAAAATGCTTCACTACTAAAAAATAAAGCATAATTTAAATTTAATTTAAATCAATGTTTTTTTTTAACACGCGGGAAACACTTGAAATTATTTTAACATCGCTGGAAACACTTGCATATAAATATATCGAGAGCTATTGGCACAGCAGTGTGTACAACAATTTATACGCCTTACACATAGGCTCAACACACTTCCCAAAAGCCGACAAAACACAAACGACGAAACACCGTAGCTTCCTTCATTAAGAGACAGTTGAAATTCATCAAGCACATAATGAGGAAAGAGGGCTTGGAAAATCTGATGCTCACAGAACAGATTAAAGGCAAACTGGACAGAGGAAAACAACGCATTACCTAGTTTGAGCAAATGGATACTGAAATAAGGTTTAGGAAAGATAATAAAATGACAAAATTAATTAAGATCTACAAAGGGTAGGAAATTGTGGAGAGCCATGATTGCCAACGTCTTGAAAGAACACAACACATAGCAGAAGCTACTAACAGTAAAGTCTACGTTCAGGGCAAAGTACTAAGCTACCTTATTTTAATCTATTAGGTGTAACCATGATAACATAGGCACCGTTTCCATCTGTTCAGACAGTAGATAGTTTTCAGAGGGTTAAAACTTTTGTATAATAGACATTGTGTGTTGGCATGATGAAAAATAGATAGCCAATCTTTTTGAAGATTGTTTATCTTGATTTTCACTTTCTTTCAATTTCTATTCCTCCCAGACAGGTTATTCTTCTAAATATGTCTCTTCGTGTTATGCCTTATCAGAAACTAGAATTTTTAAATCCTCACAGTATTTAGTATTGTTGAAGATATCGCTAACATATCTACCGAGATTTACAATCTCTACGTTTCGTTCAATTTCGCAAACCAATCGATGAAATTTGAATAAGCTGATTTGTCTGAAAATTAATAAAAATTTATTGTACTAAGCTACGCATCCTAGTAGAAACAATTGTATTTTGTACCCACTTATCTGTTTGCACTATTCCCCCCCCCAAAAAAAAAGTTGGTTTCGCTCGGTCAATGTATGGCTATGTTAGAGTGTGTGACGGAGTCACAGAATAGATTCTTAGCATTAATAGAAAAAAAAGCCATATCTTGTTCATACAATCTATATTCAACATTTTAGGGAAACAAACATTCTCTGAATTAATCTCATTACTTAACAACAGCAACAATGCCACTTTACATTAAAAGAATTTTCAAGAAACATAAATACACACACACACACACACACACACACACACACACACGTGTGTGAATAAAAACAAAAAGAAATTTTATCTTAGCCAACACATTTCATTCTCTGATGGATTTTATCATGGCAAATGTCCATCAGAGGACGAAACAAGTCATCTAAAATAAGTTTTCCTTGTCTTTATTCATATTGTCTTTTTAGAGATATTTGTAGTTATATCTGAAATTTTATATATACTAGAATTTTTTTGCAACACGCTCACGCGAGTTGAAATCCTCACAGTATTTAGTATTGTTGAAGTTATTGCTAACATTTTTTTGTCGAGATTTACAAACTCTACATTTCGTTCAATTTCAAAAGCCAGTTGATGAAATTTGAATAATCTGATTCGTTTGGAAAAATACTTTGACAAAAAACCTACTTCACGGTTTAATATTTTCTTTAATTTAATTTAACGTTATAGGACTTCATAGTAAACAATATATATATATATATTTTTGCCTTTTATTCCTTTTTAACAGCGAAGAATAAATCTTAGGATTTCTTACTCTTGAATATGCAACATACAACTGACCATGCATAGATATTTCTTTCTGGAGCCAAATTCCACCCTTTTAAAGCGTTTGGCCTTGTGATTTGTTTATAGTTCTTGCAAACGCAGGGCGAACGGCAAACTGGATTCTTGTCTATAAAAACTTAAACAAAAGATATGCAAAAACAAAATTGCATTTTTATTGAATAATTATTTGTTATTTTAATCATTAGATTGTTTTTTTTTTAAATAGTGGGGGTATTTTGTATGTTAAATAATAAAACTTTTAATTTTTCTAAAAAAAATAATGAACGTTTATTGTACTAAAGTATGCACCCTAGTAAAACCAACTGTACTTTGTACCCCCTTACCTGTTTGCACTTCTTTCTCCCCCAAATTTGGTTTCGATCGGCCAATGTATGGCTATTTTAAGAGGGTGTGACAGACGGACGAACAAACGGAAGTCTCATAATCTTATATATATATATATATATATATATATATATATATATATATTGTGTGTATTTAGGCAGCATATTTTCATTTATACACGTTTCATTAAATAATATAGACAAGTGTTGTCTATTTATTTGATGTAAATTTTTTTCGTAACATCTGATAAGTTTGATAACATTATCATTAAACGAAGAAAGAAATGCACAATATTGATCCATATTTTTTTAATATAATCTAAGCTTTATCAAAGATGTAAATTACAAACATATTAAACAATATACGGACACGACAGTGATGATAGTCTGTCATTGTTTACATAGTTGATCACTAAGCAACGATAAACACGCGCATTTAAGACGCTAGAAGCGAAAATCGCACCGCATCTCATGACGTCACACATGACTACACGAGAGTGAATTGTAGAATGAAGTAAGGAAAGCCGTTGGTATAAACCAATGGCTTCTGTTACCAATTATAGACATTTAAGAATATTTGTAGAGATGCCATAATTGATTTTGTTTCGGTTGGGTTTTAACTGTTTCATGTATAATGCTTCAAGTATTTTTAGTTTTTGTCTATTGTTTTCATGTCGAAGTATAGATGTGTTTTCGACAAGTATTTTATGGAATTGTGTGTGCGGGCAGGCATGTTGTTTTAAATGCCTAAAAATGTTAGAGTTTTCATTAAAATGTAGTGTCAAGCGTCGTGAAAGCGAGTTTGTGGTGAGTTTGTCTATATTATTTAATGAAACGTGTATAAATATATATATATATATATTCTTAACTTCGAGAAGAGACAGTTGAAATTACTAGAACACTTAATGAGGAAAGATGGCTTGGAAAATTTAATACTAACAACCTATCTGTCGAGTTTGAGCGAATGGATGGCGGGGCAGGTTTTGAGAGAGATGGCAAAACTGCAAAAGTTATTAAGGATTCCAAAGGAGAAAAAGTCGAGGGGGAGCCATGTTCGCCAAAGTCCTGAAGGGACACTGCACATAGAAGAATTAGAAGAAGACAAAAACTAAAATTAAAACAATATTTTGTTGTAATTCAGTTTTGTTATGTTATTTTATTTATTGTAAATTTGAATCTGTTTTGCGATCGTATAAAGGAGACAAAAGAACTGAAATTGGTTGAAAAGGTACCACATTTTAAGTATTTCTTCCCCGACCATGGAACGGTTACAAACTGTATCTATTTAGTATTAAAGACGTTTTTCTATAACAAAAACTAGTAAATGAAAACACGTAAATTCTTCACATATGCCTTTCGCCACAAAGAACTTTTTTTTATGTTAAGTTAAGATCTTTCTTTTGCTTCAGTTAAATCGAAAAGAAAAATTACATGCTCGAATGTGAATCTTCAGTGTTGTGTTCTGGTTTTATTTGGGAATTTTGGGGTTTATACATCGTACTCGCTCCACCAGTAATCTAACCAGCTTCTGAAGATAACAGATTCTCGCCTCGATCGCGACACCACGAAGACACGTGAGGAATCCATATGAAAAGATATCGCTATATATCGCAAACAAACGAACTCTTTTTCGCTGTATAGCAAACGTCTCCACTCTATAAATTACGATTCAGAGTGAAGAGAATTCTGATAGTATTAAGTTGATATCTTTAGGGTAAACGTTTTCCTAAAAATATTATTTCACTGATGAATAAATGAATGGATATTTGAGGCTGTTATGTCCATTGAATAGACGTTTCTAACTTAATGAATTATTCTCTTGAGTTTATTTTTCGTTTGTCAAGGTTTGCAATGTAAAAAGTTCCGTCTAGACTAGCTTGCCGCAATGAAAAATACAATCTTTAAAAAATCAATAGCTTATTTATTCAACCAAATTGTACGGAGATATTAGAATGGAAACAGGAATAGGCTTTCCTTTCGAACAATTTTCAACACTCGCGCTGCTGTGAACGTAATTATACGTCTTTTTTGGAAACCTACACAGGGTGTCCATAAAGTTCGTGTGCACTTAATAAAATTATAACTTTATTTGTATTTGCGATAGAAATAATTTGTAAAAAGGATTAGAAAGAAGTAAATCTATATTTTTTAAGGTTTTATTGAAATTTTATTCACGTTTCCACATGTCCTCCATCATTAGCAATACAAAGGGTAATACGATTTTGCAGTTCACAGAAATGATTACCTGAAATCACATTAGTTATTTTAATTATTAGCTATAATTAAAACTAGGTACATTAGACTTTATAACATTTTTTACAGATTATTTCTATCGCAAAGACAAATAAAGTTATAAATTTTTAAAGTGCACACGAACTTTATGGAAACCCTGTATTAACTGCTGTCGACGTTTTCAAGACATTGTAAAATAGCGATTCCTAGCGTTTGTGTGATAAACCAACTAGCGCTTAGTGCTATTTCTAAAAAATCATTGATATAATAGCATACAATACAACATTTTTGATGACGTATTTTTATTAGATTTTGTGGCGGGGGTGTCGTTTATCTCTATCTTTGTAATGCAGAGTATCCGATCAAAACCAAAATGTCAACGCCCAACAGAAATCGCCGTCGGTGTCTTTACAGTAATTTATTTCCAGTAAAGGTCAATTTCCCCTTTTTTTCCACTCAAAATTGGCCAGCACAGGCAGGTAACAATGCTATACTAACGCATCAATAGCAGCGTTAATGTAAGACACAGGCAGGTCGATTTCGGGAACC